GGTTGTGTGGGTGGGGATGAAGTGAGTCATTTTGGAGAGTCGGTCGACGACGACTAGGATAGCGTTGTAGCTGCGGGGTGTGCGGGGCAGGTCCATGATGAAGTCCATGGTGACTTCATCCCACACTTTGGTAGGTGGAGGGATGGGCTGAAGGAGTCCGTAGCGGTTGGTGGTGCGTGCCTTGAGTTGTTGGCAGATTGGGCAGCTACGAATGAAGTCACGCACATCGGCATGCATGCGTGGCCAATGGTAGTCGTTGGTGAGGCGTGCGTAGGTCTTCTCAACACCAAAGTGGCTGCCGGTAACAGTGCCCTGGTATTAGGAGAGTAGCAGCTGCCGTAACGAGCGATCCGCAGGGACATAAATGGTCTTGGTGACGGTGTTGTACCAAAATGGGTCTTCAAATGAGTATGCCGGGTCGTCGGGTGCTTGCTTAACGAAAAAACATGTCACTTTTGTAGGCGCGCTGAAACTTTGTGATGAAGGCATCATCCCATGTGATGCTGCTGGTTCCATGAAGTTGCAAGGGTGGGTTCGGAGTTTGAGGTGGAGGTGATGAGGTTGGGGCTGGTTGGTGAGTGTTGGGGCTGGTCGGTGGGTGGTGGGGCTGGTGGCGGTGGTCTGGTCAAGACGTCTGCTGGATTGAGCTTTCCGGGGCGGTAGATGATTTGAAGTGATGGGACAAACTGCCCCAAGAACTCAGCCCATCGAGCTTGGCGGCGGCTGAGCATGGGCTGTGTTTTCAAGTGTTGAAGAGGGCGATGGTCGGTGTAGACGGTGACGGGCTGCAGCTCCACGTAGCAGCGCCATGTCTTGATTGCGTGGACAATGGCTAAGGAGCTCCCGGTCGTGTGTTGCATAGTTGCGCTCTGCCGGTTGAAGCTTGCGTGACTCAAATGCAAGTGGCTGCATGCCATGGCCGTGGTCTTGGCAAAGAATAACACCAACTGCGACATCGGAGGCATCGGTCCATCTGAAGTATGGGCGCGATGGGTCGGCGACGGTGAGGACCGGTGCAGATGTGAGTGCCGTTTTGATCGCGGTGAAAGCGGTCTGCTGCGGTAGTCTCCACTGAAAAGTAGCTCCTTGACGGAAGAGATCGGTCAAAGGGGCGCAGATGTGAGAGAAGTTGAAGATGAATTTGCGGTAATACTTGGCGAGGCCGATGAAACTTTGCAGCTCCGCTACCGCGCGTGGTGCTGGCCAATCAGCAAGGCACTGGACCTTTGCGGGGTCCATAGCAATGCCCTTGGAGCTGATGACGTGGCCAAGAAAGCCGATGCTTGAACGGGCGAAGGTACACTTGGACAGCTTGGCGTAGAGGCGGTGTTGGCGGAGCGTGTCGAGGACGATGCGTAGGTGCTGAGCGTGTTCTTCGAGTGACTTGCTGAAGATGAGGATGTCATCGAGGAACACGATGACAAAGTGGTCGAGGAAGGGCCGAAAAATATCGTTCACGAGTCCGATGAACGTGGCTGGTGCGTTGGCGAGGCCGAACGGAAGTACTCGGAACTCGAAGTGGCCGTAGCGGGTTCAAAACGCCCGTCTTGTTGATGTCGTCTTCGGCAAGGCGGATCTGGTGGTAATCGGAGCGTAGGTCGAGCTTGCTGAAAACCGTCGCTTCCCCAAGCATGTCGAACAACTCCTCGACACGGGGCAGCGGGTACTTGTTCTTGATCGTGATGGCGTTGAGGGCGCGGTAGTCGATGCAAATACGCAGGTCACCTTCCTTCTTGCGAGCGAAGAGCACGGGGGCGGCGTATGGTGAGGTGCTAGGGCGGATGAAACCCTTCTCAAGAAGGTCATCGAGTTGTCGTCGTAGCTCCAAAAGTTCAGCGGTACTCATGCGGTAGGTTGGGCGCACGGGCGGTGTAGAACCTGGAATGAGGCGGATGCTATGGTCAATAGCACGCTCGGGTGGAAGTTCGGCAGGTAGATCATCGGGAAACACGTCCGTATAACCTTTGAGTAGATCCTGTATGGGTGGTGGCAGAGAAGTAGCTGGTGCTTCAGATTCGGGAGTCGTGAAGATGACTAGGAGATGATGAGGAGGAGGTGGCGAAGGAGGGGTGGGGGCTGATGGATTGATCTTCAGAGAAGGGGCGGAAGAGGTAACGGCGTGGCTGTTGGGCTGGGTGGGGTGGGGAAGGAGGAGGTGTGTTGATAACTTCGGAGGAGCTGGGTGGTGTTGGCTGCTGCGCAGGGGCTATGTGAGGAGGAGGGAGAGGGGGGATATGTGAGGCTGGAGATGGGGGAGGTTGGGGTGGATGTGTTGATGAAGCTGAAGTGGTTGGGGATGACCATGGGCGGCGGTAGGAGCGCGATGGGAGGTCTTAGTTGCCGACGGTGACAGTTGCGTTACGCCAATAAATTCGCGGTCCAAGCTGGTACAACCACGGTCATCCGAGCACGCCTTCATAGCCGCCGAGGTGCATTTGCTCGAACGTGACCGTCGCCTCCAGACTTCCGAACATGCAGTGCACGGGGAGGAGGGTAGTTCCGCAGCGCCGCTGAGTACCATCTGCCATGATCACGTCCTGTGGGTTGCTGTTGGGATCTTCGGGAAGAGAAAGTTTAGTAGTAATTGAGGGAGAGAGAAGATTTGCTGAAGCGCCGGTATCGAGTAGAAAGTCAACGTAGCGATCTTTTATTTTTGCGCATAGAATGATGGCGGGGAATGGAACGTTTGATATGGTGTAGAGTTCAGAGGTGCTGATGAACAATGGAGTCGGGAGAAGCGGGGCATGCGACGCGCCAGAGGTCTGCCCCACTGCTACTGGCGCTGCCCGTTTCCCCGTCCTTCGTTTGGGCTGCGACGATTTGGGCAGTTACGCTTGATGTGCCCAATCTTCCCGCATTGGTAGCACATGACGTTTGAGGTATTTCGCGGCTGCCTCTCCATCATTCCCAGCTCCATGGGTGTAGGACCATTTGCACGAGCAGCTGGAGCGTGATTCATGTGGCCCATCCTCATGCCATTGAAGCGTTGGAACGCAGCAAAGTTGATCGTGTCGAACCGTTCCGCCACACTGATCATGTCATCCATTGACGTGCATCCGCGAAGCTCCACCTCGGTGCGTATCTTTGGTTTCAGTCCGCGCTTAAACTTATCCATCTGCTCGGAAGCAGGGATATCAGGAATCTCCAGCACCAACTCCCGGAAACGGTTGACGTATTCGGCTACGGAGCGGTGTTGACGTAGTGCAGCGAGGTTGTCACGAGCGCGTTCAATCGCGTTGACAGGTTCAAAGTTCATGGTCAGTGATGCTGAAAATTCTTCCCATGTTGAAATTGTAGCGTGGCAGCTCTGCCACCAAGTAGCAGCAGCTCCTCGCAGCATCATGCCGGCGTGACGCGCCCATTCGGCTTCCTCCATTTGGAAGAGCCACCTTCGCACAGGTAGGTCTCGTTTTCCAGGGACAAACGGCTCAGGTCCAGGTGCTTTCAGACGTGCAGAGACCACAGCAGGTGCTGGCGCCGGCACCTGTGTGCCCAGGAGTCCACGTTCCTTGAGTTCGCCAAGAATCCGGTCACGCACCTCGCGTTCAATTTCTCGGCGCATATTGGCAACAAACGCGTTCCAGAGTTCCGGCGTCATATCAGACGGCCCAGCCATAGGGTCTAGAATATGGCGGGGGCGTATGAGATACTTAACCAGGCTCTGATTACCAGTGAAACGTTGCTGGCAGAAAGGTAGCAGCGTTAGTAGGCTTGAGAAACGGGTATGAAGTGCTCTCTGGAATTCTCTGGAATTTGCATTATGACTTCACAAATTTGACAGTACAATTTTATAGAGCACATTTACAAATCGAGTTGCACTCCCAAGTCGCGACACTCTGAATTTCTCAATGGTAACCCAACCCTTTGAAATGAACCTGCCGTGAAATTCAGAGAATTATTGCGGTATGGGATTGGACGGCGAGCTTGGTTACGGGGCTGTAATTTCGTCGGTATTGTTGGCGAATTTGGCGAGCGGTCGGAACTTCGGTGCCTGCGTTTCGTAAATTTTGCGGGTGGGTTTGACTTGGGCTGCTTGTCGGAACTTTGTCGCCCAACTGCAGGTTGAGGCGTTTGACCAATCCGGACTGTTGGTGTGGTGGTGATTGACTTCCGCTGCACTGTACTTGGCTGCATGCTGCTGCACTGTTACAGTTGACTTCCGCCCATTTGTATTGCAGTTGGCAGCATTCGGCTGCTGCACTGTTACAAAGAGGACGAGGTGCTTGCTTCAGGGGTAGACACTAGCGCTTGTCGCACGGCATTCGGAGGAGAAAGCGGGATGGATTGTTCCGTGTGCTTGGTCCTTGAAATGGCAGGGCGCACTTGAAATGGTCCTTGAAATTGCAGGGCGGAATGGATTGTTCCGTCGTTTGGTAACCAATTTCTGGCTGAACCACCATGCTGATAGGCAAATAAAAGGGCCCCATTGAAACGACAGTTAATAGTTCCATATAGTGGTGGAAAACAACCTTAGAGACCAACAGCGCTTTGTTGATGGTTTTTATGGAATACCCTGCGAATATGGGCGGGTTGTGGGTGATACACCCCGGTTGCAGTCCCTTCTGATTGCGACTCGGTTCTTGAGACGGCTGTGGTCATGAAACTGTTTTGGCGCGAAAAGCTGCTGTGTATCGCACCAAACGACCACGCCATCATAGGCTGTTTTCAAATAGAGTACCTGTATACAGCTGCAAATCCGTTCAAGGCATTGTATAGTCTAAGTTGAAAAAGGAAATATTATTCCTTAATGTACGCTTACTTTAGCGAGTATGAGGGTCTCTCGTCAGTATAGTTTGGCCTACAGTTTCGCCCCCAACTATTCTTGAGTCGCCACCGCACCGCACCATTTGCCAACTATCCAAGCCTCCTTCATTTTGAGGTCCTCACATCACATACCTCGGTTCTACCGTATTTCAGCTTCGCGTTAGACTTTCATACATACCGTATCATTTACAGGCTGTGAATACAATTGCAAGCTGCGTCATTGTTGAGCACATGCATTAGAGCTTGATAATACCACGACTATTGATGCGCTGAACAAGTATAGATTTCTTGTATGGCAAACAGGCCTGCCAAGTTGTCAGTATTCTCGGTGTTCCAATAACCCCTGGGTCAAAAACATGTGCATGAGGGCATGTGAATGTGGAAGGAGTGAGGATGACGGAGAAGAGCTGAAAATGAGACTGGTGCAGCAGAGGGAGAGGGTGAGGGAGAGGGTGAGGGGGAGAGAGAGAGGGGGGGAGAGGGGGAGAGAGAGAGAGGGAGAGAGAGAGGGAGAGAGAGAGGGAGAGAGAGAGAGAGAGAGAGAGGAGGAGGAGGAGGAGGAGGAGGAAAGGGGGGACACACAAACACACACACACACGTACAGCGAGAAAGATGCAGGTGGAGGGGTGGTTTAAAGGGAAAGGATGATACAAGGGGCATCCGTTCATTACCTTCAGAATAAGTGGTTCTGCGTCAGTCTTCCTGACAAGGTGCAGAGTGTTGGCCTCCAAGTAAGCCACTTTGTCGTCCAGATACATTGCACCTGCGTCCTTGAGCACCCGCACCTCGATGTACGGGTCCTTGGGGGTAGCAGGTCCTGCCACACACGAGGTCACACGGAAGAGAGGTGGGCGGGATGAGGGCAAGGAGAGGGATGGTACAGCAACAGCAGAGCATGCTTGTGTTCACAGGAGGACGGCTCTGCGCGGTTGCACATACTCTGCATTGCATGCTCTTCGCCACACACACCACAGTGCCACCACACACACCACGTGCCACTACACACATGACCATGGGCTCAGCATCCCCTCTGTTCCCCCCCTCCCACAGCAGGGTTTAGGGTCATTGAGCATGGTGAGGCACTGAGCATGGTGAGGCACTGAGCATGGTGAGGCACTGAGCATGGTGAGGCACTGAGCATGGTGAGGCACTGAGCATGGTGAGGCACTGAGCATGGTGAGGCACTGAGCATGGTGAGGCACTGAGCATGGTGAGGTTAAGCCCCCTGGTTGCCCCACACAGACCACGGTGAGGTCGAGCCCTGCATCTGCCATGTAGTCGCCCAGCCAGCGCACACAGACCACAGCGCCCTCATACACACCACTGTGCATCCCGTCACACCGCAGTGCCCCCCTTCACACCGCAGTGCCCCCCTTCACACCGCAGTGCCCCCCTTCACACCGCAGTGCCCCCCTTCACACCGCAGTGCCCCCCTTCACACCGCAGTGCCCCCTTCACACCGCAGTGCCCCCCTTCACACCGCAGTGCCCCCCTTCACACCGCAGTGCCCCCCTTCACACCGCAGTGCCCCCCTTCACACCGCAGTGCCCCCCTTCACACCGCAGTGCCCCCCTTCACACCGCAGGGGTGCTGTGCATGGTGAGCCACACACTGAACCCCCTGGTTGTCCACATACTCACCACGGTGAGGTCCAGCCCTGCATCCGCCATGCAGTCGCCCAGTGATTGTGAGTACTGCGCCAGCCACTTTTAAATTGACTCAAACCCCACTACAGTGACAACCCCTTCACACCGCAGTGGCACTCACCACAGTGAGGTCCAGCCCTGCATCCGCCATGTAGTCGCCCAGTGCACGGATACCACAATGCAATCAAACACACCGCTGTGCACCCCTTCACACCGCAGTGGCACTCACCACAGTGAGGTCCAGCCCTGCGTCCGCCATGTAGTCCCCCAGTGCCTGCGAGTACTGCGCCAGCCACTAGCCCTCCCCCGCACTCAGCCGCTCCTGCAACGCCCGTGGCAGCGTTGCGCCCAGCTGCCATCGCAGCCGTCGGATCTGATCCATGCGCGCATTGCTGACGGGAGAGAGGAGGGTAGCGAGGGGAGAGAAGGGGTGCATTGCTGAAGGCATAGAGGAGGGGTGCATTGCTGAAGGCAGAGAGGAGGGGTGCATTGCTGAAGGCAGAAAGGAGGGGTGCATTGCTGAAGGCAAAGAGGAGGGGTGCATTGCTGAAGGCATAGAGGAGGGGTGCATTGCTGAAGGCAGAGAGGAGGGGTGCATTGCTGAAGGCAGAAAGGAGGGGTGCATTGCTGAAGGCAGAGAGGAGGGGTGCATTGCTGAAGGCAGAAAGGAGGGGTGCATTGCTGAAGGCAGAGAGGAGGGGTGCATTGCTGAAGGCAGAAAGGAGGGGTGCATTGCTGAAGGCAGAAAGGAGGGGTGCATTGCTGAAGGCAGAAAGGAGGGGTGCATTGCTGAAGGCAGAAAGGAGGGGTGCATTGCTGAAGGCAGAAAGGAGGGGTGCATTGCTGAAGGCAGAAAGGAGGGGTGCATTGCTGAAGGCAGAAAGGAGGGGTGCATTGCTGAAGGCAGAAAGGAGGGGTGCATTGCTGAAGGCAGAGAGGAGGGGTGCATTGCTGAAGGCAGAAAGGAGGGGTGCATTGCTGAAGGCAGAGAGGAGGGGTGCATTGCTGAAGGCAGAAAGGAGGGGTGCATTGCTGAAGGCAGAGAGGAGGGGTGCATTGCTGAAGGCAGAAAGGAGGGGTGCATTGCTGAAGGCAGAGAGGAGGGGTGCATTGCTGAAGGCAGAAAGGAGGGGTGCATTGCTGAAGGCAGAGAGGAGGGGTGCATTGCTGAAGGCAGAAAGGAGGGGTGCATTGCTGAAGGCAGAAAGGAGGGGTGCATTGCTGAAGGCAGAGAGGAGGATAGCAAGGGGAGAGGAGGGGAGGCGAGATGGGGTAATAGTGAAATCCACATTGGCATGCTGCGAGTGGACAGTGGCGATGGCAGGCAACATGCTCCGAGCAGATTACATGCACCAAAGGACGATGCATGGCAGGTTCGAGATGCATGGCACATCACGGTGCACGATGCATGGTTCATGGAGCATGCATGGTTCATGGAGCATGCATGGAGCATGGAGCATGCATGGTTCATGGAGCATGCATGGAGCATGGAGCATGCATGGTTCATGGAGCATGCATGGAGCATGGAGCATGCATGGTTCATGGAGCATGCATGGAGCATGGAGCATGCATGGTTCATGGAGCATGCATGGTTCATGGAGCATGCATGGTTCATGGAGCATGGAGCATGCATGGAGCACAAAGCACACGGATGGGCGCGACAAATTAAAGGGACTGACAGGTAGGCGAGGAGGCAGCGCTTGTTGCGCAGCAGCGCCTGGTGGTGCACCATCACGGCCGTGGCGTCCTCCAGCCGCGTCTCCTGCCACTCCACGCCCGACCCCTGCACTCGCCTGCCGCCCGCCACGCACGTAGGGAAGAGGGAGGCCGGAGGAGGAGGGCGGCAGAGATGGCGAAAAACGATCTGGGTGGCGAAAGAAACGAGGGAGGGGAAGGAAGGGGAAGGAGGCAAGGGCGAGGGGTGCAGGCGACCAGGGCGAGGGGTGCAGCGCAGAGCGAGTGAACGGGGAGGAGCAAGGCGAAGGAGGCGCAATGGAGGGGGCGGGCGGAATGGACGGTGGGGGGTTAGAAGAGGAGAGGTGGAGAGAAGAGGCGCGTACAGGAGAATTTGCACCATGTGTTGGTGATGCTCATGCGCCTCCTCCAGTACTCGCTGCACGCCGTCCGCCTGCCACACCGTGACAGCCAGCACACAGGGGAGAGTGGGGGATGGGAAGCAGAGTGTAGGCGTAAGTACGAGGGAGCGCGATGTAAGAGCGGGTGATGCGGAAGGCTTTACCACCACCGCTGCGGACACAGCGCGTCCGCGTCGGACGGATGCAGCGGGCTACAAGGGCGTACATCGAAGGGCAGGATTTGGTCGGCGTCGCATCGCGCCACCTCCTGCACGAGCTCCACCGCCTTGCGCGCGAACATTGCGGCCTCCGCTGCGCCACCCGCTCGCACCGCCCGCTAGTACCGCGATGCCGATGGGAGTGATGGCGTTTAAGATGGATTGACTGGTTGTGGCAGTTAAAGCGACGGGAGAGGAGGTGCGTCGCACGGGAGAGGAGGTGCGTCGCACGGGAGAGGAGGTGCGTCGCACGGGAGAGGAGGTGTGTCGCACGGGAGAGGAGGTGCGTCGCACGGGAGAGGAGGTGTGTCGCACGGGAGAGGAGGTGCGTCCCAAAGGTTACACAATCTTGCGAGATTGGAGAATCGCGCAACGTGTGGATGGGGGAGCGAGGCTAGGACGCGACCACTGCACAAAGTCGAGCCTTGATCGACGCAGCGCGGCGTGGTTCCGTCACGACGCGAACAAACATTCATTCACCACTTCTCTGGGAACATTCTTCGTCCTATTCCACATCGGCGTGTTTCGAAAGTCCTAAGGTGCGTCGGTCAGCGCGCGAGCCTGTTGCGCCAAGGCAGTTACCGAGCACCACAGATGTCTACTGGCGAAATGGGTGCAAGCTGTGTGCGTGGCAGGGTGAAATCAGAATTTTGATTTTTGAAACGTTGAATCCATGACGAACCACAGGGGGGCGCGAAAGGGCTGGCGAGAGGCTGTCGAAGTTAAAATCGTAACAGTGTATGGGATTCTTTCACAAAAAACCTTTAAAAAAACATTTACCGTTACCGCACCTTATTCCAGATTTTACCTCAATAGGTAGGGGTATGCTTCAGGGTCCCTGCTACCAATATAATTTTGTATGATCTTTGAGTTTATCCGATTTATTGGGGGTGGGGGGGGGGGGGGGGGGTACCCTTTTACCATCTGACCTGTCGGAACATTAAATCTACATTCTTTAATTAATTAGACTTGGTGTATTATTTTGTTCAAGTCGTCAAACACTCATTAAGGGCATGTTCCTACGGCCCCTTATCAGGCTAACCTCTTATCAGGTCCGCGTCAAACTGCACTGAAACATTCGAAGCGAAAGCATAATACTAGGCATGTCTGACAAGAGGTTTGTCTGTGTCAGAATCCCAGCCACTAACCACTGGGATAAAAGGGCTTGTTTGTGTAGCGAGTGAGTGCGCCCATAACCCCCCAGGCCAACGTGCCTGTAACCCTTCCCTGGGATCAATCAGGGATCTCCAGTAGACCTCTGACACCCCCCTCGCACTGGAATGCCCAAGGTGCACACACTGGGATTCGAACCCGAGACCTTCGCTCTGATACCATGTCAAAATCCCAGCCACTAACCATTGGGATAAAAGGGCTTGTTTGTGTAGCGGGTGGGTACGCCCATAACCCCCCCAGGCCAACGTGCCTGTAACCCTTCCCTATGATCATCGGGAATCTCCAGTGGACCTCTGACAGTCTGATAAGAGGCATAGGAACATGTCAAAATATATCTGTAGTTTAAGATATGCTGTAGTGGGGTGCATCTTAGGGGGTACACCAAACTTCTCGACACTCATCTTGTACCCCCCTTTGTCCCTCTACTTTCATCATCTACTCTCTCTTGGTCCCTAATCTCTTTAGTGGTTGAGATGGTATAAGAAGTAGGTTCAATCCTAGCCTAGGAAAGCACTTCGTAACGCGCCCCGACGCGCCCCGTACCACGGGACTTACGCGCCCCACACTGCGCGCGCTTACGCGCCCCGTCAGCTCATGGCCCGTAGCCCACCCTGTACCGCGCGCGCTGCCCCGCACGCAGCTAGCAGCGCGCAGCCGCGCGCACGACGCTGTACACGCGCTGTTGCCCGCGCGTCAGCAGCCGCACGCGCACCAGCGACTGCATGCGCAGCATATGCAGCGCGCACAGCAGCAGCCGCACGCACAGCATTGGCTGCGCGCACAGGCGCTCGCACAGCAGCTGCCACGCGCCTAGGTGCAGCCACACGCGTGCTTAGCAGCTGCCGCGCGCGTGCAGCAAGAGCAGCTGCACGTACCTTCGCTACGCACTGCTGCACGTGCTCCTTGACAGACCACCCCCGTTCCCCACCGCACTAAACCGTTCCTGACCGCTCCCGACCGCACTCCACCGCATTGAGCCCCCCAGGCCACTCCCCACCGTGCTAGACCACCCTCCACCGCACCCTTACGCACCCGGCCACACCTTTACCTCTCCCCACCGCACTAGTCCGCACCCTACCGTACCTGACCGCTCCCCACCGCACTACACCGCACTCAATCGCACTTGACTGCACCCGACCGCGCTAGGGCATACTCCACCCCACCCGTACTTGCTGTCTACCACAAGCCTCCTACCATAGGCGTTCCCAACGGCGGCTAGCAGCCGCAGTTGACTCTCCTCGCGTAGTTTAGGGTTCGTGCCTCGTTCGGCCTAACGCTCCTAGCATAGTTCCTCTCACAAACCCCGCTTAGCATGTCTCGTATAGTTCGCTCCTGCCTCTGGTCGCTCCTAGCGTCTAGTATGGCATCCTCTCGAATTTTACGTTTCGACGTCGAAGGCCGCCCGATCGAGGTTTGCACGTGCCTCACCCAGGCCCAACGCCACCTTAAGAGTCAGCGTCAGGATGGCGCCCACCTCTATGCTCACGCGTCTGGCGCTCTTCAGCCCCCTCCCCGCCCTAGTCCTCTTCCCATTGCGCCTCCTCCCACCCCTACTCAGCAGGACGAGTACGATAGGCTGTTACGGGCGCATGACGTCTAGGAGTATCGCGACGCCACTGCCTTCAACACCCTCACCGACTTCTCCCGCCGACCAAGGCAGTCCACTTCTCCTAGTGCGACTCGGCAAAGGACCTGTATTGATGCTATTCTTGCTCGCTATCGCACCCCTTCTTCTGCCTCCCTCAGCCTCCTTCTGATGCCCTTTGTGTTCCCTGACCTGGACTCGTTCGAGACTGTCTCCGACCTTGTCACACACCTCCGCTCTCTTGACAATGGCTTTCTTGCTACCTGCACTGAGGAACAGCTCGAACTTGCCCCACCGCCTATGTGGCTCACCCTCCACAGGTTAGTCGCTCGCCTCCCTGACCGTCTCTCCTCTGCCCGTGACGTGCTTCTCCTGAAGCACTCCATAGAGCTGACTATCGATCTTCTTGAGTATACCCTCACTAAGATCGAGAGCAACCTCGTTGTTGACGCTGCCACTGCTGCAATGCCTCCCCGTCTCTTTGACGGGTGCGCTGCACCCCAGCTTCCCACGTTCACTGCTTCTCTTGCCACTGTTGCATTGTCTAGTTCTGACGAGACAGCAGGTGGTACTGGGCTAGCGGGCCTGCCGAGAGGAGATGCTAGGCCAGTTTCTTGGTACTTGGCACAGCAGCGGCAGTAGTCCCAGCAGCAGCAGCCACAGCAGGGACAGCAGCAGCAACAGCAGGGACAGCCGCAGCAGCAGGTTCATGGGCAGGTGCAGCAACATTCGTAGCAGTGGGGACCTGGTGGGCCAGGGAGCCCTGCACGTGGCGGTGGTCCACCTAGCTGGGCATCGTGTGGTGTCACTACTCCTCCCTGCCCGTACGTTGTTCAGGCGGGCACTCGTCAGGGTCAGCCCAGTGGCCGTCTTCACCCTATGGGCCAGTGCTTCGCGCAGCTCACGGACCGTCTCCATACTCAGTACGGCTGTGGCCCCGTTCCGGACCGGGCCCCACTGGCTCGCTACAGTAGAGGTGCTTGATGCTTCGAAATCTGATTCTGCAATGTATGCTAATGTTGACTATACTGGTACTGGATCTGTATGCTAGCGTGTTCGTAGTCTAGCATCCTTGCCTGTTGCTAGCGTAGATGCTTGTGCTTCTAGTCTAGGGGCTTGTGTAGCTACTAGCCCAGGTGTTCTTGCGGCTGACGCGTCGCACTCCTTCATGCTGGACTCTGGAGCATCTCAGTGCTTCTTCCGCGATGACTGTCACCCCGCTTCCTGCTCCGGTTCTAGTTGCACTGGCTGATCCTACTTCAGGACCAGCAGATGCCCGCAACTCTACCACCCTCCCATGCCCGGCTGCCCCCACTGGTGTCCTCACTGGTCTCCAAATCCCCTCGTTCTCCAGGAACTTGGTGGGTGTTCTTCAGAACCTCCACGTTGGCACCATGTTTCATCCGTTTGAGCGTGTTGCGACCTGCTTTGATGGTACCACTGGGGCTACTTTGGACACGTTTCGTCAGGAGCCCCATCCAGGTCTCTTCACACTGCACACCGTGTCTCCCCAGGTAGCTGCGTCCGGTCAAGTAGCTGCGTCCGGCCGAGTTGCTGCGTCGTGCTCCTGTCGGTCGCTCTACCATCCGACAGTCATGTGGCACCACCGTCTTGGCCACCCGTCATTCCCACGCCTCCGTAGCGGCTTGTCACAAGTCATTCGCGAATCTTGACGTCGCTCCCTCCTTCACCTGCACCGCCGTGCACTCCTTGCGTCGAGGGTGGGTTGCGCGCTACTCCTC